GAACACAATCCAAGTAAAAAAATAAAAGTTTTGCCTAACCTAGTTTCTCGAGACCAGATGCTTAAGAAACGATATTTTTACTGTGCATTAATTTTCCCTGAACGCCCACAATGTTGACGGTTTGGTGGGCTGCGGTAGACATGCTGTGTGTTAGGGGAAGGACGAGAGGGAGTGTACAACTGAGCAGCTCAGCCCCAGACAAACATTTTTTTGTATTAAAATGTGAAGTTAGTCAAAGTATTGAGTGTTGCCATTATGTGTAAATGTTGCTGTTGTTGATAGTGTTGTACACTCCTGTTGTATTACCCTGTTGTATACAGGGTAATGTAATGTGTCAAGTAAAATACAAGTGGAGAAGTTAACAATAGGACTTGGGATATATAGTGTGGCAAAGTCTGTCAAGTTGTGCTGACAAAGTTTACACTTGTCTACGGCAGCAGGTGGTGCAAACTCCCAGATGTAAAGCACAATGAAATCACATTAACGTGATGTATTGGTGAGAAAATCCGTAGGAGCCATGAGGAGGATTCGAACCTGCACACTTGGTGCGCCGTTCACCGCCCAAAGGTGATTGCTGCCGAGCCTAAGCCTAGCAGTAACCTTTAGAAACCTTATTGGACGACTTGCATAGGTCACCTAATGAATGAGTGGAGCTGCGATACATTCGTCAAGCTACGCACAGCAGCGGCTGATAGTATGATTGGTCAGACCATCAGACTGGAGGCCTGGTCAGAAAGCAGGCTGCTGGTGTCATTGGTTCTCTGAAGTATCTGATGGTAACCTGGAGAAAAGGCAGCAGGAGTGCATATATAAGCAAGGAGAGGGAGAGTGAGAGTGCGGATTCTCTTGGGTGGCATAAATCTTAATCGATCAATCGAGTGCGGAGGCGGGGTTGACTGCTGGTGTTGGAGAGTGCTCGTCCAACTTGTCCTCCTATAAAGAACGTCGCTTTTCGCTCATATGCGTAACATACGACCAAAAACTGTCGTACTAGAAAATAGAAGCGGCTGGCGAAAGTGACGTACTGTTCCGTTTTCTGTGTTGAGTCCTCTAGTAGGTTAGGAGAGGACACTTTAAACTGACCGTTTTCTAGACGTTGGGAAACCTTAGGAGGACGGAGGAGAGCGACGGAACACGTCTCCGCTCTTGTCACCACGACGGTTATTTTGGCTAACTGAGTTTCTCTGCGGTTATTAATGCGTGACGTTATAAAAAAAACTCCGAGGAGAAAGCAGCCGTCGGAGAGGTTTGGTAAGTTGCGTCAAGTGTTGGGAGAGGAGGAGGAGGGGTGGTGGTAGGTGAAGGTGGCGGCGCTGTGGACCATGTCCTACATACATGTTAAACTATGGGTAATGTGGCGTGTACAGTTTCTCCTCGTAGTCAGTCACCTCGACTGTCCTCATCTTCAAGATGATCTTCATCCCTGTGGCTCGTCTGCCTCTATAACTTTCACTCTTTGTATATTCTGTTATTGTTGCTCGACTTATAATTTGCCCGTGGCTGCTATGTCGATACCCTTAATTATTTTGTATGTCAGGATCATGTCTCACCGGTTTCCTTTCTTAAATTGACAAAAGATTCAGCTCCGCCAATATGTTCTTATACCTAAAATCTTTCAATTCGGGGACTAGCCAATTGTACGTAACCAATGTGCTTTTATCTTTATTGAAGTGTTGACTGGAAGTTGGTGCTTGATACTTTATAGCAGCTGGGTTATAAGTTGTATATAGTGTGTCCAAGTGATGGTGTCTTGGTTCCTGAAGGTTATGACGACGCGAGACAACTTTCCTTGTGCTGTTGACTGTAGGCTTCCCATGATAGGCTCATGGCTATTGACCCCGTATGCATTGTTCCTCAGGTTCAATATCACATAATCGTATTCTCACCACTTTGTATTACTGTGTACTGAATCCAGTAACCATTTGTCCTCCCGCACTCTCGTTATTGTGCAAGTGTTGTGTTGGTGGCCTGCTGTCCACGTCCTGGTCTTCTCCACGTGCACTCTACATCATCTGCCAATAGTGATACAAGAGTGGTCAATACGTCATCTGTCTCCCTTGTAATAAGACTTGCACTGGGCCTAGCACCCACTCTTGCCGGACTCACCTTTTGACATTTCTCCATTCTGATTTATATATTACCTTTGGCAGGTTAGAGGAAGAGTCGAGGCTGGGACGGGGAGAAGCGTATCAGGATAACGTATAACAAGCGTATAACGAAGCGTATAATAAGAGAAGCAGGTGTCATAGAAGGAAATGATATGTAAATGTTCTGGGTGTTAATGTGGGAACGTTTTGAGAGTCTAAACAAAGGTAGCACCAGCCAGGGAAATGATAAGGTGGGTTATGACAACTTTCAAACGGAGATGCCACCATAGTGCTCCGTGTTTTCAAATTCATAGATCATGTACTGTATGCAGACACGCAATGCAGCACCTAAATTATGCTGGGGTTGTCTCAGAACACTCAAAATGTTCTCTTTGGAAAGGAGAACAGAGAGGTATCACTTGGTATATTCGTGAAGATACTGGAAGGCCAGGTTTCAAGCCTATACAATAAAGTAATCTACTGGAGCGAAAAATGTGATAATCAGATAAATAGGCACAATCAGATAACACTATGAAGAATATCAGAGATCCACGTCTCTTAGTCTTTCTGCATCTAAGTAAAAGAAATATGATCGGAATACAAGTAGAAATGAACAAAATTGAACGAATTCCTACAAAAATGGGCAATCAGCCTGATTGTAAAGCATATGTGGGTCTGCAGGTCGGTGCAAGCAACATCCTTACCTGGTTGATGGGGTTCTGGGAGTTCTTCTACTCCCCTACTACTTGACTTGTGAGAGTTTGGTCCACCAGGCTGTTGCTTGGAGCGGCCCGCAGGCCCACATACCCACCACAGCCCGGTTGGTCCGGCACTCATTGAAGGAAACAATCTAGTTTCCTCTTGAAAATGTCCACAGTTGTTCCGGCAATATTTCTTATGCTTGCTGGGAGGACGTTGAACAACCCCGGACCTCTGATGTTTATACAGTGTTCTCTGATTGTGCCTATGGCACCTCTGCTCTTCACTGGTTCTATTCTGCATTTTCTTCCATGTCGTTCACTCCAGTACTGACGTTGTTATTTTACTGTGTAGATTTGGGACCTTACCGATTAAATTATTACTAGTCAACCCTAGCCCCCGTCCGGGCCTTGACAGTTATGAGTACTGTCGGAATTGACTACAGGTAAAGTATGGGGAGAGGGAGATGTAGCGGAGGTGTGGCAGGAGTGTTGGGGTTATCTTGAGATGATTTCGGGGCTTAGCGTCCCCGCGGCCCGGTCCTCGACCAGGCCTCCTTTTTGTTACCCCCCCCCCCAGGAAGCAGTCCGTAGCAGCTGTCTAACTCCCAGGTACCTATTTACTGCTAGGTGAACAGGGTGAAAACTGCCCATTTTGTTTCCGCCTACCCCGGGGATCGAACCCGAAAATCCAGGACTACGAAACCGAAGTGTTGTCCACTCAGCTGTGGGGCCCCCTCTGGGCCTGAGGTGGGGGGACTGTGCCCCCCCCCCTTTGCGCTCCCTGCTGGAACTTGCCCACTCCTGACCTACCTGGGAGCCGGTCGGGCCGGTCGGCCGAGCGGACAGCACGCTGGACTTGTGATCCTGTGGCGCTGGGTTCGATCCCAGGCGCCGGCGAGAAACATTGGGCAGAGTTTCTTTCACCCTATGCCCCTGTTACCTAGCAGTAAACTAGGTACCTGGGTGTTAGTCAACTGTCACGGGCTGCTTCCTGGGGGTGGAGGCCTGGTCGAGGACCGGGCCGCGGGGACACTAAAAAGCCCCGAAATCATCGCAAGATAACCTGTTGTACTGCCGTGTTTATGGTGGCGTGCTTGTGTGGCTGTCACCTCCGCTCTTACACCTTACTGTGTACTTCACTCCTACCTGAAGGGCCTTCATGCAGAAATTAATCCCCAGATAAGACAAGCAGGAATGACTAGGTGAAGTTAACAGGAAATAAACAGGGCAGAGCGAGGGTTAATAGGATTTTATGCTTCCAATTTAAATTGGTCCCGAAATGAGTAAGTAACGTGATGCATGCATGAGCGTCCAACTGTCCATAGATATTTTTGTGGTGTGGGTGAGTATAGCTGCCATTAAAGAGTTGCCATCAGTGTTTAATGTGGTGTTCCTGCGTCGGCAAGTTTCTCCCGCCAAGATTTCTCGAGGGTGGGAAGCAACTGTGTCAGTGATTTCTCTAGTGGTAATTATATTGCTAACGTTTATCGTATAGCGGGTAGCGCGAGCAGGTGTCCTCGCTCAACGCCCACCCTGAGGCGTCTGGTGGGCCGCAAGGTGGATGGGTTCACTTATAGCCTGGCTATATAAATGTACCAGTTTATATAGCTTGGGGGACTGGGGGGTTGGATAGGGGTGTCGTACCAACGTGTGTGTGGGGTGAGTTTCCTATGTTCGTGGGGGAATGTTAGTTATATTAACGGACCAATAAATCGATGGTTTGACTTAGTCATGATGCAAGCTCACTCTCAAGTGCTGGATCAGTAAATTACAAGAAAAGTGTTCCACAGGGTTCACATATAACGTGGTCGGGGATTGGGTGGGTGTCGGGGGGTGAGATGTTGGGCGGGGCGGCCTGGGTGGAGACGAGGTAGACAGCTCAGTATGAGGGCGGTGAGCGTGGCGCGCGCGTGTTACCGCTACCGTGTCTAGGGGAACACTGCTCCCGCCCTGGTGGGCCCCTCCCCCTTAGCCTGCCGGCGCTGGTGCCGGCCCTCACACCCACACTTGTATATAGTGACACACCTCCTCAGTTATGTGTACATACGTAGTCCCTGGCTGTGATAAATGTACAGTGAAGCCGACAAAAAGTGTACACATCTGTTTAAAGCACGCCTAGAGCCTACAAGGAATTACTTGGAATCTTTTCCTGCCTTCTGAAGTCTGTGTCATTAACTGCTGCTAACTTGGAAGTGGTGATAGTGTTTCTGAGTGGTGTAATCTGTGACAACATGAAACAAAGGAGGGGTGTGTGTTTGTGTGATTGTTACATATAAGCTATTGAGATTGATTCGTTTATAATGCGAGACTTCTTAAGGAAGAGTCCTTCGAGGGGGACCGTGAGTTCTTCCTCGGCAGGGTTTAAAAGGCCGACGAGTCCTCCAGCCAGAGAACAAGTTAGCCAGGGCAAAGATATATCAGGGGTGTGTAAATTCACCTCGGCCATAAAGATGCGGGCCTTCCGGGGTAGCGTGAGGAAGAAGATAGCCGAGCTGGAGGCCAACTCTAAATTGAAGGATGAGGAGGAAGGTGATGATAAGGGTAATGACACAACTCCTGCTCAGTCCGAAAGTGCCATACCAAACTGTCGCATGCCAATCACACTGCCGACACACCAGGAGGATGCTGTTCATGACACGAAGATCACTGTAGAGGAGGGAGATGAGACACGGGAGGTGGCAAGCTCATCTCGAGAGCAGGCAGGTTGGAGTTCTGAGGCTAAGGATGCCTTCACTAATGAACACCACTCAGAGTCTGAGGCGGAAAGTGTTTATGAATCCCGTAAACTGATGATGAGGAGAGTGATGCGCCATGAAGCTGAAGAGGTCACACACAATCACTTTGACCACTCAGATGCAGACTCCTGGACTGACCTTGAAGAGAACTTCGCCAAGATATACGAGCCTATCCCATACAGGGTTCGCAGGGAGGCCTGGCAAAAGATGACCAAGGAGGAGTTACTGTACAACATCAACAGTGAAAGGATGAGGTTGCAGATGAAACACATGAGCAGGAAGGAAATTCTCAAAGAGATTGACCACTTGCGAGAACATCCAGTACACTTCACACAGAGCTACAACAAGGTCAAATGTGCCAAGCAGCCGACCACCTCACACCAGCATCAAGTGGTAGCAGAGATTCATTCCGTCCAGCATCCAGATTGCCAGACCTTGCACAGTGACACTGACACAGAGTTTGGGGAGACTGATTATGTGACCCGGTCTGAACTGTACAAAAACATTCATAATCTGCAGAACTCTCTGGCCAGACACAACAAATTATTGATGGATGAGGACAACCAGTCCTGGAGGTCGGTGCCAGGTCAGCACGATGATCCCGTCTATATCTCCCGTTCAGAGATATTGTCTAAAGTGGACCCAACGTATACCACCCGCCCGGAGGTCACCACGACTAGGGAGATTATGCATCAAAATAGTAACAAAGACAACTACTTATCGCGGTCTGAGATCTTGACTCGCCTGAAAGAGATGTGTGAGAGTGAAGATGAGCGTGGCCTCTCACCAGCTAACACAGCCGACTCCAACTGGGACGTGTGTTCTTGTGTTTCTTGCGAGCAGTGTGGCACCGACAACATCTCTGCTTCTGAGGCCGAGTGCCAGTGCGGCGCCAAGCAGACTGGAGACAAAAGACATAAAGAGCACATCAGTCCCCATAGGCCCTCCTCACCTGGAGATCAATCTCTTCTCTCCCAAGATTCCTGGTCCAACGGAGAGTTTGAGAAAATCTATGAGCCTATTAAGGGGCCGAGTGTTGTGAGACGACGAGATTATCTCGTCAGTCGCACTTTAGAAGAGCAGAAAAAACGCCTCCAAAAACTGGCACAAGTGAAGGAGCACCAACCCTCCGAGGGCAGAGGTAAATATCTTCCTATCGATGCATGGAGTCTTAGTGAGAGTGAAGATGTATATGAATCCCTGGCACGTGTGGCTCGCGCTTCTCTACGGGCAGGCTCCAACACATTGGCGTCTATCAGTAAAGCTCGCCAGAAAACTGGAGGCGGTGGTGACCTGGAGTTGCAGCGGCGTGTGCGTGAAATACTTGATGGGCAAAATCAGATTAATACCACAACAAGAATTAAAGTGGTACAAGCCATCACTGAGCACATAAAGCACCATCTTGATCTTGACAACTTTGAGGATGAAGAAGAGAGAAATCATGAGATTCGTGAGCGGCTGAAGGAGGCTATGGCACAGGACTGGGAAACTCTGAGCAACATCAACCTGGGTCATATCTATGTCCCTATGGAAGAAAGCGCCAAGAGTTCAAAACTGGGAAGCAAGGAAAACACTGATTATGATACATTCGGTAGCATTGACTCACTTATTTTTGAGCCCAAGGTTCCAGCCATTCAAGAGGCATCGGATGAAGGAACTGTGTCTAGTGCACTGAGCAACACCATTAGCACTGACAGCCTACTGGACAAAGCCCTTGAGCAGAACTATGATACTGATGATCCTGCCCTGAGTGCCATGAAGTTTTTTGATGATGCTCTTCAACTAGAAGGGGAAAAACTGAACTGTGAATTAAAAGAGGAGGAGGAGGGAGATAATGACGACGACGAGGAAACGCCCATTCCTACACCAGCTCCTTCAACACCAATAGCTGAGAGTGAGCAAGAATTACCCATCTATGACACAGACGACGAATTGCAGGAACATCCAGTAAATGATATTCAAAACATATCGAAAGAGAACCCACTCAACCTAAAGCAACACCCATGGCCTTGGAGTGCTGGTAACCAAAATCATCAGGGACGCTCTCAGTCAAACAAAGAACAAACCAAGCTGCCTCTTAAACAGAAGATATACAATGGCTTGATGGGTTTGGGGTTTATAAGGTTTGGTTCCAAGGAAAATATAAAATCTCCAATTCTTCTCTGCAATCAAGAAAATCCCAATTTCGTGGTATCTGGAAAAGATACCCCAAAAGAGTCACTCAAAGTACCCGTGGTGATGGAGCTGCAGCGAGGACTGGACTCGCAGCAGTCTCAGAAAGACGTGAATGGGTACGAGTCATTCCAGATGGATTTTCACAGGCTGTCCGGCAAGAGGTTGCCCAGCGAAGAAGACTCGATGTACGATTATCACCCAGATCACAACGAAGCACTGTACCATGGCGGCACCACAACCAGCCACGATACAGTCGACTCCGAGACGGACAGCGTAACCAGTCAAGAGAGCGTAATCTTCAAAGGCAACCTAACGGAGATGGGCGACGCCACTGACCTCGACGACAAAAAGAAGAAAAAGAATTCATTTCAGCACAAGTTTGTTGTAAATCAAGGCAATGAATCCGACACTAGCGAACTGATTGAAAACAAGTCTGTAAGTCTGAGCACGCAGCCATACCTAGACTCGGACACATCGTGGGACTACATGGAGGCTGTTGAAGAGGAGAAAGCGGCCATGCAGAGATATGCTGTCACTCTGGAGGCCCAGGCTGAAGTGGGCTCGGTGACTCTTGGCCCGCGGGTAGTTGGAAATATGCGCAGGAAACACCTTTACCAAAGCATTGACAAAGTCGAACACACACAAGCTGAAGGGTCTCCTGAGGGAGGGACGTCTCTTCAGGCATCTGTTACAGAAGCTGTAACAGATGTTCATAATATTGGAAACCCAGTATCATCACCCCCTTCACTGACTGACCTCCAATTGGCACATGTGAGTGTGACCAGTCCCATTGATTACACCGACGAAGAGATAGATGGTCGGCAGCTTTTTCGTGCCTACCAGCGACGTCAGTTTAGAGCCCCAAGTGACCATGAGGGGGGTGATGGAGGTGGAAGTGCAAGTACCACAACACAGGATTACCAGGAGACAGAGGAGGACATGTATGACGTGTGTGATTCTAGTGGAAGCCTTGTACAGCGTAGCCAAAATAATCCGTCAGTGGTGCTGCTGAAGCACCATGTGTACCAAAGCATTGAGTCCCTTGCCTCCCGTTCATGCATATCTTCCACAGTGTCCATCAAGTCACCCGTCACAGAAGGAACATTGGACGATGGCGAGCTACAGCTTTACGGTTCACGTCACGGGGAACCCATATATGGTGTGCGAAACTCTCGCCTCTTCCACTCTATGAACGGCGCTTTCGTTAGTAGAAGCAACAGCGATAGCGCGGTTGATCCGCCTGTCATTATCCGTAAAGGCAGGGTAGTGGAACTTACAGAAGAAATGTTTAAAGGCACCCTGGAGCGTAAGGTATTGCCTCAAGAGCTTGATGATAGCCACCAGAACCTGACCTTCCATAGTAGCCTACTGCCTACCACAGTACACGAGGAGGATCGTCTCTATTTCCATAATACTGTTTCTTCCACTGAGTCACGGGAAGTCCACTCATATGAGAATGATAGCGAGATCTATGGCACACATAATGAGATTCGTGAGGAAATTTTTCAGGTTACCCGGGAGCAATTGAAAATTGATCCTCAAGAGGAAGTTTCAGCAAAAGAGGAGTCTTCTGCAGATTCTTTCACATCCCAGAGAAAGACTGAGAACACTGAAGATGAAGTAATGGAGGGTACATCGACGGCCAAGATCAAGAGAGTGCAAAAACTAGGGGTGTCAATCTTGGGGAATAATAATGATATGATGATTCGTGAACTGAAGCTTAAATTGAAACATAAGTTTAACCCTGATGATGAGAGTGAAGGTTCTGAAGATGCCACTACCGAGAAGTTATCCGAGGTTAAGGGCACAGTCATCAGCAAGGTGCCTCTGATAGCCACCATTTCCAGTGACTCCAATTCCGTGGCACTGAAGCGGGAGCAGCTGGCTCCTCACATGAACAAGATATTTGGCTCTCTGCACAAGAGACGTCGCCAGAGCATTGAGACTGTGATGAGTAAGAGTGAGGCTGGAGGAACAGATGAATGTGGAAAGTTCTTTCCAGGAAAGGGCGATGTCACAAAAGATACGAAGGATGAGAAACAAGAAAAAAACGAAAAGGAGAGAGAGGTAATAAGGTTAACAAGAGCAGACGGAGGCGTTGAGCATGTTTGGGTGCCAACACCGGACTACACACCAGCCTCCACGCTACCAAGAGAAAACTTCAACCACTCTATCTTGGCCTTTGATCACCTCATGGACCACCAACTAGCCCAAGAGGAGGACTACAGCTTTGATTTAGCCGACTTGGCTAAGTTTGTCCACGAACACATCTCCAAGAACAAGAACCTGTACTCGGACCCAGGAGGTCCGGACTCCGTGCCCACACCTGTTGCTCAGGTCAGTGCCTCTGTCTCCCCCAGTCCCACCAATGAACCCATGCTGCAGAGTGGTGATTTCCCTAAACGTTCTGTACGATTTGATATGCGAAAACAATTGGCCGATTTGAGTGCCACTTGGTCAGACTTAGAGAGCGTCATCTTTGCCGAAGACAAGTCTGGTTCCGAGTATCAGGACAGGGCAGAGAAACAGTGGGACATTGGGGAGTACGTGGGGAGTGTGTTATCTAGCGGCAAGCTGCCGGCCTCTCGCATGGAATCCTACAAAGATAGTGATTGTCTGCTATGGGAGCAGCTGGCCAAGATGAGGCGCAGCAAGGCCCCAGAGGACCGTGAGCGCTGGCAGTTGGAGAAGACGAAAAGGATGCTGCTCTGGATACATCTGTCCGATGACAACACCTACACTGAGTGGTGTTACAAGAGTCAGTGGTGGAAGGTGAGAATAGTACCGATACCAGCTCTAAACCGACTCTCGGCACCTGAATACTTGCAGCACGGGTGCTGGTTTCCTGTCACTAGTCTCTTAAGTGTTGCTGTTCTAATACACAATTATGGTGTAGCAGTAAGCTGTGTGTGTTGCGCGGGGTGCAGGTGTAAGCTTCCTTTTGTTGTGGGAGCGGAAGACAGTGGGCAGCAGGCACCTGGATGCCTTTGTTTGGGTTCACCTGTGTTGTCTCAGCCCTCAGCTGGGTGCTCACCTCGCCACGCCCCGTTACTCCTTTACAAGTTCCCAATTCACTGATGCGATTATGCCATGCCTCTGCTTCACACACACCCTCACCTCTTTACAACACAACATACGTTTAATACTAATGTGACATTTGTAATATTGGTTCCCTGTCCTTAAAAGTCTTCCATTTGTATTCTCGCCCGTGTTCGACCGCAGGCAATCTGCCCTCAAATTGTTAAGGCTGGGTTTAACTTGCACGAGGATTTTTTAATTAGCAGGAGAAAGCGCCAAGCCATTACGACTTTATAGCACTTGGAAGGGGTCAGGATAAGGATTTGGGATGAAACAGGGGGGGGGGGGGAATGGCCCCCAACCACTTGGACGGTCGGGGATTGAACGCCGACCTGCATGAAATGTGCACGAGTGGTTGGTTGGATGTAAAACTGCCAATCTGGCGTGCAACATTATTAAGCAGTTGAGTTGGGTAGGGGTGTGGGTGGTCGGGTAGGCAGCTGGTCCAAGACCTGGGTAAACACCTAGGGATGGAGGCAAGGGCACGCCTCGACTGAAGCTCGTTTGGTTTGTTATGGTTGTGGTAGGTCTGTTACTACAGTTACTTTTGGTGATGGTGGTGATGCCTTACTTATAATGGTGGTCTTTTAATCTCGGCGATGATGTAGTGGTTAGTTCTTGTGCTTATATTGTTAATTTTGCTGCTCCTGCTGATCCTGCTGCTGTTCGTGTTGCTGGTCCAGTTCCTGCTGGTCCAGTTCCTGCTGCTCCGATAGTTGCCCAGATTGTTGCTCCTGTTGCTGCTGCTAATACTACTGATGCTCCTTCCCCCTGTCCATGGGAACCAACTGTGATAGGCGTATTTAATTATTAAACACTAGACAATAGACTCACAAGAACGTGATGCATGATGATAAAATAATGAAGCCGTAACACTACGGGTAGTTATAGCACTAGTTACATTTACTGCGTGCTGAGGTGAATTTATGTCCAATTTATATCCATTTATACCAAGATGAACTTATATCCAAGTTGGTTTGGTTAACATTTTGGCATTATGATCGTTGGCAGTTGGAGCGATGTTGACCCAGTTCTACTAATGGAAGGCTGTGATTGGCAGCACACTACAGTCATGGTCTCTCGCGGGAAATTTGCGGTGTTGTGATCGATGGAGAAGTATGCTTTTTAATGGAGTAAGTATGGGGGTGTTAGAGGCCGGCTGATCCCAAGTCACTCGGTCAACGGCAGGCACTTCTCAGTCTTCCCAGCCGCCGGAGGGTCAGTGCTGGTCCACTTGGGGGGGGGGGGAGTCCGTCACTACGACCAGGCACAGACGGATATTCATGACTCTACGACATAGCTAAAGGGATATTCATGACCCTACGACATAGCTAAAGGGATATTCATGACCCTACGACATAGCTAAAGGGATATTCCTGACCCTACGACATAGCTAAAGGGATATTCATGACCCTACGACATAGCTAAAGGGATATTCCTGACCCTACGACATAGCTAAAGGGATATTCCTGACCCTACGACATAGCTAAAGGGATATTCCTGACCCTACGACATAGCTAAAGGGATATTCCTGACCCTACGACCAGGCTACACTATGACCTGACTGTGGGGGGGGGGGAGACGTGTCATCAGAACGCTGCCTTGTGTTAGACGGTGAATCAGTTGGCGATGAAAATGTGTTGCTGCCGTCATTACTTAAACTACTAGTACACTATTGCAACAATCACTACTACCAAAACTACCACAACGAAAACAACCACTACTACCAAAACAAGCACTACAACCGAAACTGCTGCTGATACAATTACTACAAACAAAAGAACTATTACTACTACTACTACTACAATCAAAACTACTACTATCACAAGCAAGTCTGCTGCTACAACTACTACTTCACCTACAACCAAAACAACTACTGCTACTATTACTACAACGAAAAACTACCTCCAAACTACTTAAACAACTGCAACTAATAACAGTTGTATAATTGATTAACCTGTAATTTATATATGGAATGTGATAACGCAAAGGCACTACAAGTGTATAACCTTAAGATTAAAACGCAAGACGCAATAAAGCACCTAAATTATTGGGATCGTCTCAAAGCCCTCCAAATGTACTCACTAGAAAGAAGACGAGAGAGATATCAAATAATATACACCTGGAAGATACTGGAGGGCCAAGTACCAAATCTACACAGTAAAATAACAACGTACTGGAGTGAACGATATGGAAGAAAATGCAGAATAGAACCAGTGAAGAACAGAGGTGCCATAGGCACAATCAGAGAACACTGTATAAACATCAGAGGTCCGCGGTTGTTCAACACCCTCCCAGCGAGCATAAGAAATATTGCCGGAACTACCGTGGACATCTTCAAGAGGAAACTAGATTTATTCCTCCAAGGAGTGCCGAACCAACCGGGCTGTGGTGGGTATGTGGGTCTGCGGGCCGCTCCAAGCAACAGCCTGGTGGACCAAACTCTCACAAGTCAAGCCTGGCCTCGGGCCGGGCTTGGGGAGTAGAAGAACTCCCAGAACCCCATCAACCAGGTATCAACCAGGTTGCTGTAGTGCCAGACCCAACTTGGTTTCCCATAACACTCTAGGATGTACTCGGGTAAAGGTTGTGACTTGAGAGGTAGTCATTAGGGCGGCGGCCGTAGAGGCGGCGGTAGCGTATACAGTGACACAGGCCTGGAGGTGGTCACGCCCGTTGTAGTGTAATAATGGTGAGAATACCAGCTGCCGGACGTCGTTGTGGAGGGAAGGTCAGACTACTGTTAGCAGGTCTCCAGCACATGTTGGGGATGATGTAGGTAAAGGTGGGCTGGACCACTTGTCAACACTGGTGGTGTGGGGGAGCCTGTGTGTGTGTGTGGTGTGGGGAGCCAGGGGAGGTGGTCGGGGGAAGAGGCGTTCCTTGGTACCTGTATCTCCGGCAGAGATGGAAATGCAACTGTGCTCGGAGAATTATATCATTGAGTTAGATTACAACTTTAGCGAGATGAGTGTGCGGTGGGGCTTGCTGCGACGCGGGTGAGGGCCTGGGTGTACATGTGGTGTAGCTCCTAACATGAAGTACTTGTAGTAACCATGTACCCCATCGTACAAATATCGACGTGATGGACCAGTGGGCTCCATCACCTCGACTTTTGTGTTACTGAATTTGGACAAACGAAGTTTTTTTTATGTTGCTAACTAAACCTAACTTAACCAGCCTAAACCTAACACGCCATCTGAGGTCTAGTATAGTACATAGGTGCTAAACTAGGGCATAGGAATAATTTGTTGCTTTTTACCTATATTTTTCCGGACTCTTTAAAATGAATTTAACCCAATTTTACTTTCAATTTGTCCATCACAAATGATATTTGTAGGATCGTCACACAAGGACGTAATATTTGAGTAGTTACAAAAGCACCATCTTACCAGGGTATAGTTACCTGTTGGTGTTGGTGAGGTGTTAGTGACCCGGGTTAGTGTACAGGTAAGGCGGTAACTGCTTATGGCAGGAGCGCCGCCATACACCAGTACTGAGCACAGACTCCGCGACACTCCACAGCTGCCCACATACCGTGAGGGCCAAATCCGGATGATAGTTTTGTACACTTACCACTGGTTGTACTCGGCCACTTCTATAGGAAGGCGTGACAACACTCGTGTCTGGGTGCAAGACTGGTGCGCTCCTCCAGTATAGTACACAGTTTCTCTCCAACCACTTGAGCTGGACGATAGAACCACGGTCTCACTTCATGCAGGTCGGCGTTCAATCCCACGACCGTCCAAGGGGTTGGGCACCATTCCTTCCCTCCGTCTTATCCCAAATACTTATCCTGATCCCTTCCAAGTGCTATATAGTCGTAATGGCTTGGTGCTTTCTCCTCTTAGTTCATTTATTCATTCATTCCTCTCTTAGAGGTTAAGGTGTGATCAGCCTCGTTATGTTCTCTGGCAGTCTGCACCCCCCCCCCCCGGCCTGATCCATATAGCACAAGGCATGGAAGAATTATACCTTGGATAACATTATTAGTTCCGGTGGTGCAGGTAACATGCTCGGGGTGGGGCTGTGGGCGTGCACACCTCCCAGGGTTGACGTGCACGCCTCCCAGGGTTGACGTGCACGCCTCTCAGGGTTGACGTGCACGCCTCCCAGGGTTGACGTGCACGCTGGCGCCTCCCAGGGTTGACGTGCACGCCTCCCAGGGTTGACGTGCACGCCTCCCAGGGTTGACGTGCACGCCTCTCAGGGTTGACGTGCACGCCTCCCAGGGTTGACGTGCACGCTGGCGCCTCCCAGGGTTGACGTGCACGCCTCCCAGGGTGGGCGTGCACGCCTCCCAGGGTGGCCGTGCACGCTGGCTCCTCCCAGGGTTGACGTGCACGCCTCCCAGGGTGGCCGTGCACGCCTCCCAGGGTTGACGTGCACTTGTCAACCCTCGTCTTGCCCTTGTTATTTTTAGCATACTTGTCTGGCTTCCGGCTGAGACGGTGGCGTGTTATCCACCATTGTGAACAATCTAGTCCAAGAGTGTAAGGAGAGAGCTGCTAGCGTGCACCGTCTTGGCTTGGTAAGGAACAGCTGGATACATCTCCAGCTTGTGGGGGCTGAGGGCGTGTGCCGGTATATGAATGGCCTTATAGAGCTTTGATAATATTGTTGATATAAATGATGTGCTGGATGAGCGGAGCTCTACACCCTTAGCACACCCACCTGGCCTTACTGGAGAGCTC